TCTGCTTACAGCTTGACCATCACTAGTGATTAAATCTGGTCATGTCTGCCTGCAGTTTCTTATTCATTTGCTGTTGATCACTGGGATTTCATCACTCTGAAATCACCATCTCTGCTGTATTTGCAAATTGGCCTTTGCGTGTATTGCATACACAGGAGTATGTTTGTCTCTGCTCTTTGTATACTGCAGAAACTGGGTAATTCAGGGTTGCGTTATCGAAAGCGATCTCTTTCAAAGGGATCTCTGCTTTTCACCATTCTTACATCTTGGAGGGTATTGAGGAGGTATCAGGAATTAGAACCTCCTGTGAATGTTTACTGGTTTAGGTCTTCAGACCATCTGAAAAAACATAAATGCTTCATATTCTTTCTTGTAGTATTTTGAACCAGTTATTTGTTCTGCTAATGAGCAAACATTCTCAAAATATTTTTTTACAGCTCTATAATGACTAAATGTTTCCATGCTCTCAGTTTCTCAGGCAAGAAGGATCAGAGTAATTCAGTGACAGTTTTAATAAAAACATTCTTTTCACAGTAGTTTTTTTCCAAAACTGTGATACATTTTTCTCACAGAAAAAGTTACTTGTTTCCATCTGAAAAGATTTGTCTCTTTGATGTCTGCTTTTCACCAGGGAACAGAGAAAAAGCTGTATTTCTATCCTGAAAGCTGGGAGATTGGGCTCAAGTCCTTGCTTTATCCCAGGTTTCCTTCTTAAACCTCCCTTTCTTTTCCAGGAGAATGAAGAGAGATTGTGATGCTCCCTGACTGGGTCAAACCCAGTAAGTTATTACTATTAAATTATTAAATTATTATTGGATTAATAAATTATCATTAGGTAATAATACGTAGTAGTAGTATTGCCGGTAGTAGAAGTAGTATTGTAATCCTTTAGTTGTATGGCTAAATGGTGGTTTGATTAACACCGAGTAGCTTTGTGGTTATAGCTGGTGAGCTGCCACTGGCAAAATCTGCCTTGGTAGGGTACTGCACACTGCTTTTCAAGAACAGTACCACTCAGAGCCCCCTTACCCTCCTGCAGCTAACGTGCAGTCCCACCATCCCACCAGCTGTAGAGTGGTACAGCAGATTTGAGGTGTTCAGAAGAGTCTTTCCTATACTGATAAATTTCATCAAATTCATATAAATCCTGTTCAGTGTTCCCCCCACTGCCCATAGTTTATTACAGGAGAGTAGCATAGCTAACCAGGTTTCTGATTCATCATCTGTGCCATTCTGAGCACCATACTCTCCATGTATCTTTAATGGCATTATCCTCTGTTGTCTTCAGACCATTCATTTGGCAGGTTTAAACACCTTTAAATTTTGATCTTGGCCTTTGGTGTGCTTGTTGCCTTTCCCAGTATTGTTTACAAATTTAGTTAGAATACAGATTTAGTAAGAATTTCATCTTCCAGGTCATTAGTAAAAAGAAATGGAAAAATGGAACGTCTTCCAAGTTTCAGTAAAAGGATCCATAGTTGTTAGCATTTATAATAAAGTAGAAGGAAAATCAGAAGTAATCCAAGACCTGAACCCACTACTCCTGTCACTGCTTGCTCTTATAAAAAGTCCCTCTCCAGATTTCTTTTAGGCCCCTTCAGCTACTGCCAGGCTGCTCTGAGGTCTCCCTTGAGCCTCCTCTTCCCCAGGGTGAATGAGGTGAGACAAATTGTCACATGCACTGAGAGCCAAACACCTAAAGAAGGCTCCAGGCTTCTTTATCAACTGCTTTGGTTTCAGCTCATCCAGATCATCATTTGGTCCTTTCATCCAAATTTGGTTTTCTATCACGAGTGAGTTAAACCAAGAAGCCTGTGTGAATCCCAGTGGTGTATGAATAAAGATCTGGGAACTGAGGCCCCAGTGCACCGCACTTGCAAATAAAATAAGAAGTGAAAAATCACACCAGCATTGGAATAAGGCAGTTTCAGCCAACTGTTGAATATGTAACACAGTCTCTTGAGGAATTCAGCTCCTGAGTAGCACAGCAGTGGAGGAGAGGGAGGGTTTATGACCTGACTGCCTCCTCCAACCCAGGCACAGAAAAGCCATGTATTCAGCAAATTTCCTGCAGGCTTTTGATGCAAAGCAGGAAGCTGTACATTAACAGAGCATGCACTGATCTCTAAAAGCATCTTGCATGTTGCTGTCAAGAGTGAAGTTAATTTCTGATACCAAGCCTAGACTGCGGGTGAATAAAATGAGATTACAAAGTGACTTTATTCTGAGAATAATTGTATTGCTGCCTTTGCGTGTGCATTTGAGAGGTTTTCTTCCTAATTGAAGTGTATGGAGAGAGTGCTTCTAGCATTTGGAAATAATATTTGCCAAGGACACGTGATAAGAAAATTGTGATAAGACAAGCTGTATACGTCCTGGGGAGAAAAACCCCTGCAGAAATGACCAAGCATCTTCCCAGCTCCTCTAAGTTTTTCAGCATATGAATAGTTCCCTAAGTGCAATAATACTATTTACATGAATAAAGATGTCAGGGTTTCATTAATACAGTACTGTGATTCAGTGTTGTATCAGACTGGAGAGTAATTTAGGATGGCATAAAATCCTGCTAGCATGTTCTGGCTGTCAAAGCGTGCTCTGTGTACACGGTATGCACTGCAATTTGTTTTGCTTTATTTTGACCATCTAAATGTCACAGCATCTAATTGAAGTTAAATGTCATGGCTTTAGCCAGAAGTGGAAGATGGGTACAGGCACTACTCCAGGATGGTTCAACTGATACCTACAACAGGTAGTGTAGATTAAAATAACTCTCTTTTACTGTTTCATTACTAAATGAAAGTAGAGAACAGGAACTGGGAAAATTTACTCAATGCTACTGAGTAGGAAAAAGGTATTCAGATAATCATCTGTTTCTTCTCTTGAGCTTTTCTGTTATGTATGACTTCTGCAAAGCAGAGGTATATTTTCATTTTGGGTCTCAGAACATCTATATACAAGATACTGAATGCTAGACATCATGGTTAGGAGGGAGAAGAGCTGTATATGATTAGACTAATGAGTATACTTGGGCATAGCAGAGGAGCTTTCCAGCATTCAAGTCTTTCTTCAAACAAAAACAGAAGAACCTTTCAGCTCCTGGCTGCAGTTGCCATGGGAGCAATTTTGAACAAATATGTAATTAGAGCTGGTCAATATTTTTAATGAAGGAATGGCTTTCATTTCAGAAACAAACTTGTTTAGCACATAATAACCAAAATTGGAATTGAAAACATTTAGTCTGGTTTGTTTCTGCTTTCCTTTTTCTTATTCTGCTTAATTCCTTTAAGTGGCTGAAAATCTTTATTTTTCCCTTTTCCTTGAAAATGAGCCTTTTTTTAATAGAGGCAAAACATGTTGCAAAATATGTGGATAAAAGAGTTGGTCATTTAAAACCAGTCCTTCAGGGCTAAATTCACAATCTCGGAACCTTCTGTTAGTGTTAATAATAGGGTAGATATTTAAGTATCCAATATCCAAATTATGATCTTCAATGAGTTCTTCACTACCGCAGTTTTAACTTTAAAGGCACCTACATTTCAGAAGCCTTGAACCTGTATTTTCCACAGTTACCAGAATTTTTGTTGGTAATTGTATGCCAATGGTCCAAAGTAGTCCTGTCTCAATGGGGGTGCATGGCTTGGTGTCTCATTTATCCTGAAACATGTTTATCATCTATAAATCAGATGGGATGGCTCAGTTGAGCAGCTGTGGGCTGCTCCCAGATCAGTGTATCCTCTGTGTTCAGTTGTGGGGCTGGGCTGACATATGGTTTGCCAGCAGACATGGATCACACTTGCTAGAGGGAGGAGTCAAGACACAGGTACTTTCTTATTTAAAAGTTCTTCTGTTTTTTTAACTTTCTGAAGCCCTCCTAATGAGTCAGCAGGGTATTATAACATAGAAGTGGTTTCTTTAAAGAAGGTGTTTTAGTGTTTCATCCTCAGTAAACACTCAAATGTATAAGAAAAAAAAAGCCCTAGAAATCACGCGAAGATTTCTTGAACTGGAAGCCCTTCCCATCTATCTGAATATATATATATTAAATATATATATATTTTTTATATATATATGAATGGAGGCACTGTAAGCTTTGAAGCAGAGGTATTCTGTTGAACAGGCTGAGTTATGACGCTGTCACTGCCGTAGAGGTAGCCTTTATACTGTCTGAATTCTCCAGGATCTGTTATGTAGTTGCCTGAAGTCCAAAACTCCACAGTCATTCAGCTGTATGAATTTCAAATTAAGATGGCACCACAAATTAGTGGATGGAGAAATGTGAGACAACAAAGCCATCTGGTCCCAGTTTTTGACCTGTTCAGGACCCTTGGTACAGTCAGCCTGAATGGACGCTGATTAACCTCTTTGCTCTTTACCCATTGATGTTAAGCAGTACCACAGACTATCACATTCTAAGATTTCTGAATGAATTAAAGATACCTGGTGAGCAGTGAGATTATGTCACTGTTACACTGGGTCTTTGCTGAAAGCAGTTCATTTACTGCGTTAAGCAATTGCTACCACCTTGCGTGCCCAAAGCACCTGTAAATGCCTCCACACCTGACGGTCATATGCTCTTCCTATGGGTCCTTCGAGGACAAAACTAAACATTCCCTCCCTCCCCGCCCTCCCTCGCCCCCCCAAGTATTCCATTCCTGTAAAATTGAACTCTATACTTCTCAGCTCTCCAAGACTGGTAAACTCATGCAACTCACTAGAATATTACATTTCACAAAAATCTGAGCAAGTTTCAGGTTGTTGAGATGATTGAATTTTTTTGTTGGTTTGTTTCCAGTTATGGAAGAATGTTCATTCATTATATGCCTACGTATTTCTTTTCTTACCCTATCCCGATTATGCAGGGTATGCAGATCAAAGCTTTGTTTATCAGCTGGTTATATTAAAGATGAAAACTGTAATATTCCCGTGATCCCATACGGGCATTCAATAAAGCAAAAGATGAGTTCCCCTCATAAAAAAAGAAACCAACAGAGAAAAGAAAAAGGATGATTTTCCAAGGGCACCTATTGAAAGGACAACAATACTAATAAAAAAAAATTGTATTTACTTAGAAGCATTCAGAATGTCAACAAAACAGCTGCAACTTTTCTTGTTTCTCCTTTTCGCAATTACAGAGTGGTATTCAGTTAACAGAACAACAATTATTTTTTCTGATGCAGAGACAACTGAAGATGAAAAAGGAACTACATCCCCATGTAGAACTAATTTGTGCTGGGCACCAACAAGAACCTGCTTTAAAACTCCCATGCCAATTTACAACCCCCACACTGTACCAGGCAAGGTTAGTGCCCGTTGAAATACCACTAAGGACAGGGCTATCTAAAGACACATTTGGTAGTGTGTTAACTATACAAAAAAAGAGACACTGTACAGTTTAAAAACAAATCTTACACAGCCTTACATTTCAATTTTGTTTTGTTTTTTTTTTGTTTTTTTCTTTAAAAGGAGTGAGTTGTGTACAGGGGGGTTAAATGCTTTATAGACAAGAAAGAAATTGCTCTAAAAGAGACTTATTCATCATCATCATCATATTCATCCTCCTCCTCTTCTTCATCATCTTCCTCCTCTTTGTCCTCATCCTCATCTTCCTCCTCCTCCTTCTTCTTCTTGCTCTTCTCAGCCTTGGCAACTACTTTTTTGCCTGCATCAACCTTCCCTTTGGCCTGGTATGCAGCAATATCCTTTTCATACTTCTCCTTCAGTTTGGCAGCCTTTTTTTCATAAGGCTGTTTATCATCTGCAGCAGTGTTGTTCCACATCTCTCCCAGTTTCTTTGCAACATCCCCAATGGACAGACCAGGATGTTCTCCTTTGATTTTTGGACGAAACTCAGAGCAAAACAAGAAAAAAGCCGAAGGAGGCCTCTTCGGTGCATTTGGATCCTTGAACTTCTTTTTTGTTTCCCCCTTAGGTGGTACATAGTTTTTCGTTTCTTTTTCATAACGAAGCTTGTCGGCCTTTACCATATCTTCAAACTTCCCTTTCTCCTTAGAAGACATAGTCTTCCACCGTTCTGAGCACTTTTTTGAGAACTCTGAAAAGTCCACTGAAGCATCTGGATGTTTCTTCTTGTGCTCCTCCCGGCAGGTTTGCACAAAGAAGGCATATGAAGACATTTTACCTCTCGGCTTCTTAGGATCACCTTTGCCCATTTTGGATGATTTTCGGTGTCACAGTTGGCACGCAGCCCTAGCTCAGTCCCGAGCCCCAGAGACACTACCCTGGCTGCCCGCCCGGCCCCAGCGCTGCCTCGGTCCCTGTTTAGCCCGGTGCACCGCGATGGCTGTGAGAGCGGGATCGATACGCAGCCTCTTCACACTCTCAATACTAGTGAGTGTAACCTAAAAGGCTATCTTGGAGATATATTTGCCTGGTTGTGCGTGGCTGTATTGCTGACATAAGAAATCTGCTAATTCTTGTTAAAGATGATGCTGTTCTGCCCAGGAACTGCTGCTGTGATGGGCTGAAGTGCAAGTAGTTACTCATGTGCCATGCAGTTGCGTTACAGAAATTAAACGTGTTGAGCATATCTTTCCAGCAGTCCCCAGAGGAAATTGTATTTGGTTTTTTTCTTAGCTCTTCCTAAGGCTTGAATTAAATAGCCAGCAAGCTAAGTATGCCTATGAAACAGTGGTGTTATAGTACACATCTGTGAAAATTTCACTTGGAGACAGATCTTGAGCACAGATCCATTGATGTTAACAGATGTATCCTGATTGTATCCCGGAAGCTCTGTTGATGATTCATATGTTTTTTACTCTGTTGGTTTGGGACCTTTAAATTTCTCTCTTTGCTTTAGCATAAACATGCAAACACAAGAAATAAATGCATCTGTGCATAATTTCTGTATTGTAACTGGAAACATCCTCAGACTTGAAATCCATTTCTGCTTTATTCATCTTTGTACACAATCCCACTGACTAGGAAATTTTCATTGCATTTGATTCCCACAGCAGTTAAACTGAATAAAGGTCCTTTCCAACACTAACTATTCTATAGTTCTAACTGCTCCTTTGGGTTCAGACTGTCTGGTGATGCTGATCAGCCTTGCAGAGTATAGAGAATTGCAGGTGGAATGACAGTTACCAGTCTGGTACTGCACTCTGGGCATGTACGTCAAAGCGCAATTTGCATTTCTTCCTTTACTCACGTTGAGTGAATTTTATTCTGTTGAATAGCAGTTTGCTGTGTTTCAGTAATATGGGATTCGCATTATTTCCTTTGGTGTGGTTTTGGAATTAACATGCCTACTACCACTTAACAGAGGGGGAAATGAAGCACAGAATAAATGGATTCAAGGAGAGAGTGGTATTTCCAGCAAGTGCTATCATGCAGCATTTATCCCATGAACCTCAGTTATGAGTAGATGATGCCTTCGCTTCCCAGCAAGGGGTGAAGAACAGCTGATGCTGCTTCACAAGTGTCCTTTACATGAAGGCCTGTGAGAGCAGTTGAAGGAAAAAGAAGTCAATAATAAAAGTACTTCTTGAGAATGCAGCAATTTGAATGAAGGACTGAAATTCTTTCATTTCAGATAACACAGACTGGTCATTAAAAAGAACATCTTTATTACTGACATCATTTAAGTTATTCCTTGAGAACATTTCAGAAGTGCTTTAGTTTTTATGGCATTTTGAAGTTAATCACTTAAAAATAAGGCAATTGCAAAGAAGTTAGTGTGGAATTAAGGAGTACCAAGCCAATTCTACTGTTCTATTTCAGTGAAATGTGTGTGGGAAATGGGAGAGGGGTAGGATAAGAGTTTCTTTTCACTGAACAGAAACCTGTTCAAATGAATATAATATTAGATCTAAAATTCAGGAGTATGGATAGACTCATCAGGAAGGGTTTCAATGAGCATGCAGAGCGTATAAAAGCTTTAAAAAGCTGTGTCTGAATACAGCCCTCCTGAAGCTCTGTTTCAGGTGGCACTTCTCAAATACCAATGAATTTCCTGGTCTAGCAGAGTGAACACTGAGTCAGAAGTAAGCACCGGGTTCAGAGTTACTGCTTACATTGTCTTGGATTAGTCATTTCATGTTTTGTCTGAAGTGCTGATGTTATTAATAGTATGAAATAATGATATTTAAATTACTCTTGTTGATTGTAGTTGATTGGAAAAATAGCTATTGTGGTTGCTTTTTCTTGAATAAAATCTTTATTTGTTTCCACAAAGACCACAGAAGTAGCATTTTGCTCAAACTTCAAGTGTTTTGACTAAAAATAGGTAACCTTGCTTCCCATGGGGTTGCCGTTTGGAGCTGTATACATTGTCCTGTGCTATGGCCAGGGCTCACTTATGGGGCAACAGGGGAAGGCACATACATACTTTACATATTCCCTTTGCATTTCAGACCATGACTACCGGTCTGTGCATAACACCAAAATGTAGCTTTGATTTAGGTTCAACTGCTAGAAAAATAAGTTGTTTTCTGTTTCAATTCCTTCCCTTGGTCCATAGTTTTTCATGTGGGGTGCAGAAGGCAGGTGAACCCACAAGAGAGAGCCTGTTTTGGGGGCTGTCTGGGATTCCCACTGTGCTACATCCCCATATCATCATTCTGCTCCTCTGTGAAGACTGAAATAGGAAAGGGGCATCTGAGGCTGTGCCCCCAGGACTCTACTCACCTCTAACATCCCTCTTTCACATCCTGTCCTTTCCCTGCTCCATTCCCTGGGTGCAGCATCCATCTCCATTTGATTTTTTTCTAGGGAAAGAGGGGAAGAGAAAAAAGAGAAAAAGAGAAGGAAAGGGAAACAAAAAGGAAAAGAAAAAAGGGAAGGAGGAAGGAAGGAACAAAGGAAAGAAGAAAGGAAGGAGAAGTAAAAATAGGAGACTAAGAAAGGAAAAGAAGGAAAACAGAAGATGAAGGAGAAAGAGAAGTAAAAAGCCCAGGCGTCTTTAGCAACAGTGCAACAAGAGAGGCAGCAAATGCAGCTCTTCTTTATGTAGTGCTCACCTCATCTGTGATTTCCAAGGTCTGGATAAGAAATGAGCATCTCTCTTATTGTCTTCTCCAATTTTGCCTTTCAAGAAGCCAAAAGAGCCTTAAATAACAGCAATTCTGGTTCCTCTGTGTTTCCCAAAGAGACAGATACATACTTTAATGCCATTAGAAAGACTGACAAATAAATGTATTTTACATTTAAGAGAATTCCTCTCTACAGGTGAAGGGAAAGAGGTAAACAGCATTATTAAATTGAATTTCACTTCGTCTTTTACGTTTCAAATGCTGTAACAATTTTCCTCTCCTTTGCATCTTTAAGATAGGGTTAAAAAGATTTAATGGAGGTTGTTGCTATGGTGTTCATACCAAGGTGTCTGCATTCATTCCACTGAACATGGTTAGTGCTTGAACGTATTTACACCTTTGTCTGTCTGGATCTATTTGCTCTCTCAAAATTAACACGGCACACCCCAGCTGGGAGAGAACATGTGCTTGTTTTTGCCTTCAGAAGATGCAAAGTAAATGCAATGTGAAAGAAAGGTCTGCAGGCCTTTTTTTAACACTTCTCAAGTGTTTTCATAGACTCAAAATGTGCAGAGACAGACATGAGAGATGCTGCACTCGGCAATGTCTGCACATCAGGGCACAAATTATTTAGGTTTTTTAATAGCTTTATGAATCATTACAACTGATAGGACAGTCCTTTCTAGCTGACATCACAAAGAGTTATTCCTGAATGACATCATCATTGGAGCTTTTAGAGGAGGAAAAAGAAGAAAACCACCCCAACACAGTGTGAATCTGGTATGTTTCATAGCTCCTTGGCCTAACGTTAGTGGTTGTCTTTCTAATACTGGTTTAACTTTTTGTGATGCAGATACTGCATAAGCATTTAGTTCTAGAACATCATCGGATCATCTCTATCCCTTCCTCTGGACACAGAGCAAAGGGGAAAGCCTAAGGAATTCACAGCCCTTCAGACACCTTGCCCCTCATCCCTGAGCAGAGGCAAGAGGCTGAGCTCCAAGTCCAGCCTTTGTGCTAAGGAGCTGGCAGTGCTGCTGAGCCTCATTGGTGACACAGGTGGCCTTTCCCTCTGGAGATGCTGCCCCATCAAACTCCTCCCCTTGCACACACCAGTGCCTGCACACACACACACAATGGCACTCAGGTCCTCCTAAAGATGAGCTTTTCCAAACACACCAGCAGGTCCAGGCTGGAATTAGCATTATTGTATTTTAGAGGAATTAAAAGAGAGAAGTACACTATGAAATATTGTATAATAAAACTGCAGTCTCTATCATCTGCAACAAATACCTTACATTAAAATATTCATTTTGGAGCTGAATCACATTTTAATCCAAAGGTGCTGTGATTTCTAATTGAAAGGTGCTATTTTTTCTGTAGAACATGCGGAACTACACTAATATATGAGTGAAAACACACAGAGTGAACTGCAAGAGCTTGTGTTTCTGATGGCTATGCATCTTTTTCCTTGTAATTCTCTGCTACTCCTCCATTTGTGACCTGATGGCAATATCTGTCATCTTTTTCAGTAAGTACTAGCACTGGCTTTAGTTTGTATGTTTGTTATCCTCCCTCCTGAGGTAAATCAGATGCTGTGGAGAAATACAGGCATGGTGTGAGATGGGCGGTTGTTCTGATTTAACATAGCAGCATTTTTCTCCGTGACAAGGAAATTTGCATCACTGGATGACCTTATTTGTTCCAAAATAAAGGTTGTTTCCTACTGACCAAAAAAGCCACAAAGTGTCCTTATTTCTGCAGAGAGGATGATGTCAGGAATGGGGGCTGCCTCTATTACAGGAGAAGGAACACCCATCAATGGGAACGAAGGTCTCTGCTGGAGCTCTTGCCCTTGGTGGTGCAGCCTAAGCAGATCACCTTGAATGCTCTCCTTGGAGCCATGTGTGATTTAGGTCTTGGCAACAAGAAATTGGGTATCCTGGAAACTTTATTCTGAAATGTTTTAAGAAAGGCTTTAACTGGTCCATTCAAAAACCTTTTGAAGCTGGTGCTGTGTCCCCAGTGACAACATAAGTTAGTACCAAGGGCAAAAAAGGAACTGGGCAAGCAGGTATCATCTTTTCCCAGATGGCAACTATTTTAGCTCTCCCACATTTGGATGTGTTTTCATGTTTTCGGTAAGTTTCTCTTTCATCTCCACCCGTCTACCCATGTAACTTCAGCATTCACAGCATCCTTTGGCAGTGAGTTCCACAGGTCTATTTGCTAAGCCACACATAATTATTTTTGGTTTGTGTACATAGGAGTTGACATAGGACATAAATAACAGTGTGGCAAGTCCATTCAAAGTGAGTCCTTCCTGCAG